GATTATTATGACGATGTGACTAATATTAACCTACCCCGAGCCACCAATCTGAGTCTAATCAAGGGTTAAGTGTTACAGGTGATGCCCACTCTCCTCAATTGAGACCAAATCTATTAGTTAATACCGACCAACGGGCGATTTTAGAAATACCAGAGTCCGCCAAAATAGAAGGTTAGGAGTGTAACCCAATCAAGCTAGACAGTGCCCCAGAAGCCGTGGTCCTATCGAACCGACAACCAAGACACGCAAGACCGCGCAGGAACGTCGGAGCCCCCAAAGTTTTCGGAGATTGCCGATTTATTGACGTAGTGCGCGAAAAAGATGACCAGCCGACATTTTCATCACAGATTGACATTATCAACCAACCCAGAGCAACATTCGTGAGAACCTCACAGTCAAACTTGTTGACACCCTTAGCGGAGGCTCCACCAGTACGAACCCTGGTCGCAGAAACCACACTTACTTGGTCATCTAAGAAATCGTGCCCATCGGACAGACCAAATTATACGCCAATTATGACACTTTTTAAAAGCACCTCTTCAGTATCGCACTATACAATCCAACCGACTACCAATTACGCACTTCACGAGGTAGAAAAATTGAGCAAAATATCCTCGACCATCGACTCAGAACTAAAAGCTAAATTAGATGATTTCGACGAACAATGTAACTAAATTCACAAAACTCAAAAAAAAACCATTCTTTAATTCATTTTGTAGTACTCTTAATTGATCATTTCACTGTAGGTAACGTTGTACATGTCAAATGTACATCTTGTAGATTAGTGTTTTTCTTTTATTCTTAATTTAGTTATTTTGCTTTTATCTCAATTTCTGTATAACTGTAAATTCTGTATATTCACCCTGTACATTTGTACCTTCCTATTTTCAGTTGTAGATACTATTTTGCTTGATGTACTATGTTTTTTGGTGGCGCAGTTTGTAAAATATTGTTCCTACTTTGAAGGGGGAAAATGGGTGTATATAGAAGAAATTAATGAATTTGTAGTTTTATTTTTTTTCCCGGTGGGAAATGTTGTGATTTGTTTTTAGCTGTTTTAAATGACCTTCGGTATTTAATTAAATACCAGTTAACTTAGTTCGATACGACCACCGATCGATCGGAGAGTGTTCGTTCAGTTGTCCTTTTGGAATGTTTTAAATTAATACACTCTATATTTTCCGCTTTACCTTTTTAAGTATTTGTACATTAGTTGTTCATAGCTCATATTATTAGAACACTTAATTATCCTCTTATTCAAGAAAGATTTCATTACGATGCAAAACTTAGTGCAGATGAGAAAACGGACATTTTCAGACCCGGATTATTTTGGTAAGTCATTGAAACCAAATAATGATAGTTTCATAGATGGTAGCTCTGAACATTTGCTCTGGGTCAATATGCATTTCTTTTTTTGAATTTCGAAGGAATTTTTGTCCAAAATGTCTCTGAGAACAGACTTTTTACAAACTAAACTTCTGAAATCGCGGCGCTTAATATTGTCAACTAGTGTAGTCAAACCTCTTATAGAGGTCGCAATTAATTTTTTCCAATTTTTTTAAAGAAAATTCTTAAAATTTGTTCAGACTCAAAATTTACTTTTTCGCGGTCTGACTATGGTTTTTCATTATAAATTTAGTTCTTTTCTTTCGTTTTAAGGATGCCAAAATCCACTATCGAGCAGCAAGTGTAAAGTTACCAAAAACATGATTGAGTTCTAGTTTCGAAAGTGGAATTTATTTCCAGATTCGTCTGTGGAATTAAATATACCTATTGATCCAGTTTGTCAATCATAACAGTTTTTTGTTACGACCGTTTGAGAAATCTTGAGGATTTTTGTATTGGTGTGTGTTTTAGTTTTTTGATTTTTTTTATTTCCGCGCAAACTCATGTACCAATAATTACAAGAAAAAACTTAACCTTTCAGGCGCAAATTTTCTTTTTTTGCGGTTTGACTTCTGGTTTAAATACTTTTGCGATAAGCTAGGGTATTGCAATCGGGTACCAGACTTTTTTCTTAATGTCAAATTTCTTAGTGTCTTCAGCACCTTTTGCCAGGGGGTAACAAATACGGCAATGGGACGGCAAGGGTAATGCGTCGAATGTGACCGCAAACTGTAAGTGGTCTATTATTTGTCTGCTTAAGTTTTGTAGGCTTATTTGCAAGATCTAAGAATAGTTTTTTTCTGGTACAAAGAACTTTCACTGTAACTGCTTAGTGTCTTAACATTTTAAAAGTCCGGCAGAATCGAGGTTTAATTTACATTGGTTGTAATTTTACTAGCTCGATATAGGAAAACTTCATTTTTTTCATTTTTTGGCTTGATAAAATTTGGTTCATTTTATACAACTTAGTGGCCTCTTATTTCTTGCCAGGTAATTGAAAACAAATTTTGTGCGTGGGTGTGTTCTGAGGGGGAAAAGAAAAAAATTTTAACATTAATTTTGAATTTTTTTGAATTTTTTTCGGCGAGAAAGATTTCTGCTGAGATATTTTCGGCTTTGTCATCTCTTGGTTTTTATAAAGTCAAATCCATTCAATCATCTGGCGGATCTGGATTAAAGATAACCAATTGCTTGAGACCGCAAAGGATTGCGGTTTGAATTCGGCCGCGACATTTTTTTAGGGCTATCGTCCTGTTTTTTTTTGGTCGACCTAATTCCCGTAGCGCGACTTTTTTTGATGGTTTAGCTTTCTTTCAAATTCTTTTAAATTCCCATCCTTGAATCGACAAGGCTCGGGAGTTCAATTTCTGTCGAAACTTGATTTTTTTGCAAATTGAAATGTTTCGGCTAAATTAGTTTATTGTCGCTCTGCTTATTTTGATTCTGCTTTTTTCCGCAGAAATGATTTTTTGAAAAGTTGATTTCTTTCTACCCTTCCAGAAGGTTGCAAGTTTTTTTTGGCAGTCACAATTTTTTGAAGTTTTTTTTTTCAATTTTTTCCGTTTGATTGTAATCATAATCATTCATTTTTTATCGCAAGTTTTGTGAAACACAGCTTCGCTTCTGTATCTTAAAGATAATTTTCTAAAATAACCTTCAAAAATTCATCAGGAAGAACTCATGAGTGTGTTATTTTCTGGAAACTCATCAGTGCATCTGTTCTGGAACCCGTTCTGAAAAAGTATCTTATTTTTGCTGTACATTTTTGTCTTGTAAAACATCAATAAATTCTGCAGTGCAAACTATGATTAAATTGCTTCTTTTCATTTGTGGATTTTTGAGAACTCAAATTTTACACTAGATAGAAAAAGCAGTCTTATAAATGGACAGATTGAATGGTAGCATGGTTATTGTTGTCTAAAAATATAAATGAACTGTTTTAGTGTCTTGACTTTTTAATAAAATTCATAAGCCCTACAGAGTTACTTATAAATATCTTATATAATTTATTGATTCAACTTGATCACAACAATTGTATTCTAGCCGAATTTTATAACTTAAAAACTAAAATTTAACATCACAACTCCTCAAGCGAACTACAGAAAAGTTTGTTTCTGTGATTGGGAAACATTTTTATCAATAAAATACTGTTGATAAACATATGCGTTCATTTTAATTGTACACATGTTTTCATATAAAATGGTAGATTTAGTCTGCAGGTTAAAAAACACCGAGAAAACAATGATATTAAAAAAGTCTCATTGCATTTTTTTGATCTCATCACTAAACTTTTTATAAGCCAACTTAATTAATCTTGCTTTTCATTCAGTTCAAAAAATCGGCTCTTTTTCCTTCCCCCCCCCACCTCCAAAATTTTTACATGTAAATTTGTTGACCACATTGTCCGATAGCTGTGAAAATTTACATACAGACTAATAAATGGTGTTCTAGTTTTTTGTTGGGATTTGAAGTTACAATTAGTTCTTTCAAGTTTTGGCATCTTTTGAATGCTACTAAAATTTCTGCTGTGATCTTTTTTAGTTTGTCTTTTTCCACAGATACAGGTGTTTCGGATTTGGTTTCTTATCATCTGCTGGTCTTCTAGGGTTGTATGTTGACACCACAAGCTTTCTGGAGCCCATATTACTTGCTGTCATGCATCCTTTGCACAAATTATTATTTGATTTCCCAGTCTGGTCATATGAGATCAAAGCATTCCGGAGGGCATTGATTTTGAAGAAATTGTACATCAAATGACAATTTTGCGTTAAAATTGATGGCGTACATAATCCAGTTTATATTGAAACAGTTTTCGATGAAATTTCAACCCTCAAGAAGAAACTATGTAGCATGACGCCACATAGAATAATTTCTAGAGCACTTATTGTGACAAAATAATACTCTAGATGACCAGCTGTTAGGGAAAAATATTCAATCCAGCATCTGTGGAAACAAGTTACGAAAGATCACTGGGGAAATTCTTGTCGCGTTCAAAAGATTCCCAAATTTGAAAAAATATATTGTCTCCTCAAATCTCTACAAAACAGAGAAGTAAAACACCACTTTCTCAAACAGATGACGATGTCCTCAAGGTACTAAAAAAGTGACACTATTAATTCACTCCTGTATCTTCAAATTTTTTTAACTCAAAATTTAGGTATTGTATAAGAAAAGTCGTGTGTAACAAAAGATAAAATCAGATGAGACTTTTTTAAAAGCATTATTTCATGGGAACTTTGTCTGTTACCCTGTGAAACTGTAATTTACATTTTACGAAAGATTAGTATATTCCATGATATTTTGATTTTACATATATACATCACTTCTTTTGTGAAGTGATCGGAACAAAAAAAAACATAAATATTTGTATGAAATTTGGCTGCAATATTGTACAAAATTCTGAAGAGGAGATTGCTTAAGAAACTATTCGTACGCAAATTGTTTGGTAGACGTAAAAACCGCAGAATTCAAAGAAAACGACCTCGATGAAATTTTTGCGCTCTTCACTAGCTATACTATAAATCTGTTATACTATTTTAAATTTTTCGCTCAATTATAGTTCACTTCATAAGTATACTCATTCACTAATGAAAAAAGGAGTCAGTTTTCGAGTAATTGAATTTGCTATGTTAGAGACGATAACGGTGATGACAATTGAAAACAAGGATAAGACTTTGGATGGGTTTTTTGTTCACGTTTGGTTTCGGAATAATTGGTTGCGCTGCAGTCGATTGGCCGTCGCTTTTCTTCAAAGAATTTGTTTACCAAGTGAGACAACCACATATTCTACCCATGTTTATCATGTCGTAATAGTTGTTGCTTCTGAAACAAACAGTTTGAAGTCATTCCATTTGTGGCTCTTTTTTCTCAAGCCGCCTCCTTACCCATAAACAGTTTTTTTACGCAAAACGCGTTTTTGCTTAAATTGTTTTGCCTTTATGAACTTTTAAATTTGGCATGCAGTTTAACTCGGCATTCTACTGTGCGTTTTGGGTTCAGGTTTAACTTATGCAACATCACCAAATTATTACAAAATAGTTGTTCTTGTAACGTCTACCAATTTCCATCTTCCTAGCCTTTTAGATTATTCTAATTATAATTGCTTCTATGTCTCAATGATGGATTCAACAATCGGTGAAAGCAGTCAGATTATTGAGGCTGAGGACATTTTTTTTTTTCAAAAAAGAAGGTATATTTTTCAAAAAAGAACCTGTAAACATTTCAGCAAAATGTTTTTGTTTTCTATTTTCATGATTCTATTTTTTATTTTTAAAAAAATTATAAAAAGGAGTAAAGTTTGCTGCAATAATCCATTGATTTTATTCTATTCGTTTTAAGAAATGCGTGAAAATAGTATCAAAATTCTAAAACAGCGTTTTTAATATACAAAACTCGATTGGAATCAACAAAACATTTACTAGAGTTGACAGTTATGTAAAAGAGAAAATACGTGGTTGACGAGCTTATAAATTAAAGAGCGGTGCACTAACCCGAAATCGGAGAATCGCCATGGCTGGCAGTCGTTAATGCACTGCATGAAGTTACTCAGCTCGCCATCGGAGAAGTTGTCCATCCAACTTCTGGTGTAAACCCTTCCTGCATTTGCCCCGTGGTAATCAGGGCCCAAAAGGGTGAACACGAGGAGGGCATAAAGCAGCGCTGAGGTGATATTAATAGTCTGCATTTTGAGGAGTTGGTTGATTTTATAGATAACTTAATTTTGGTTGGTCAATGTGATGATAGTAGATTTGCGAACGGAAGCTTACCGTCTAAAATAATTTACAAGCAAGATGAAAAGTCCTAAACTGCCCCTAGGAGAGCCTTAATTTCTTCACCAATCCAGATAAGTTATTACAATAGCCTGTTGGTGACTACTTTTTATTATGTCACCTGCTGCCAATTTTTTAACCGTTGAAATTCAATAAAATAAAACTAGGGTCTTCATTTTATTTATTTTTTTTACTTTTGACTGGTGTGGTATTGTTTTTAGTTTTGTTTGCCACAGTTTACAAGCCCAGAAAAAAAATACGTTTAAAAACTCACAATCGCACAATAGTCACCGTCAATTTTTATAAAATTCTTGATAATTGAGAAGCTTTGCATTTGCCTCAAGAACACAAAAATGAGGGGTATATATTTCTGAGAGCTGATTTTTGCTTGTTGACGGAGAGAAAATCTGCAGATTTTATACGGCGACAAGAAAATGAAGATTAGTTCTCATTGCACAAGTCAAACGAATTCATAAATCAATTTTTTGTGACAAACATAATATTGGTAGATAATTTATTACTTTTTCATATTAAATAACTTGGAAATGTCCAAGAATTAAGTGGCTTTGAGGCAGTGGATTGGATGATAGACTCGATTAAAAAACAAGGGCATATACTAAGCTATTAAAATAAAATCATAAATTTCAATATATACTTTCTTAGCTCAGTATTTTCTCGTGATGTTTTTTTTCCAGTCAATCATCCAATCCACTGCCTCATTTTTAGAAATCTCTTGGCTAATTTTTTTATGAATATTATAATTATTCTCGGCTGTTGAGACCCCTGAAAACATATTAATAATCAGTCTGCCAAAAGTTGGGTCCTTTTTTAACTGTATGTGTAACGAGCTACTCTCATCAAAATCAGAATCACATTCAGAACCACAAAATTATTTATTAAAAATATCAAAATTCTATTTTAACTGTTTTTGGTGACAATTTTGACAAAAGAATGCGTGTTCTCGTTGCGGGCTTCCATTCAAATTTAGCATATTCTTATTGCCGTTAAAACATAATATGACACATAACACGCCTTAAAAACCAATTTGAATTAGAGCGGCTGTGGGGTGAAAAATGGCACTAATGTCTAACTCCTGAAGCCCCCTAAAACCTACGGGGGCGTTCAACAGTGCCGAAAATGAAAAAGTGTTCAACAGTGCCGAAAACAGAAAATATTTGAAATTTTCGAGTTCTGCTTGCAAATTGGTAGCATTTTTTGAATACTGTTTCGTTTTGGAGCAAAAATTGACAAAAATTTGCCAATTGGCTGAGTTAATTGTTTGTTCAGAAAAATGTATGTGGCCGCGCTTGGGAAATTTGTGTTTGTTTAAGCGGCATCAATTAAAACGCCCATTTTTGACTTTTCAACTCCCGTTGATTTGTATTATATACCTGTCTACAATTTGGGAGTTGTAAAAAAAGGGGAAGCCTTTTAGCACACCAAATATACTAAAGTGATGCATGATTGATTGACAGACTCAAAAAGACACTCAGCCTTTGGGTCAAGTTCCCCCAATCAAGACAGTTTCCACGCAATTTGTCACCAAAACTATCACCTTCGAAAGCACAATAGTCTGAATTAGTGGCAAAACAAGGATCTACGCACACAAAAACATCTGTATTGAGTAGAAGCACAGCGGAGCAAGCGGTCACTAATCGCCAATGCCTCGTTTGAAATTGACATTCTGACTTGCTAATTGTTCTAACTCTACTAAAGAGGAGTGGTCTGCTAAAAAATTGGTATTCCAAAATCGCAAGAATAGTGTTCCAAGTAGTTTTTGGCACTGTTAAAGAATGATTTTTTTCAGAGTTGATGTACTTCGGCACTGTTGGACTGCCCGAATCCCGCTAGATAATTAAACTTGAGCAGCTAATCAGAAAATATGTATGGAAAAGTAATTATGCAACTTTAAATCAAAAATTCACTATATGTAAGAAAACTGTCAACAGGAAAAACATCAGTCCGAGTTAAAGGCTCACAAATCACAGTAATTTTTGAAGTAATATAATTTAGTGACATCCCGTAAATGTGAAAAAATAGAAGTATTGCCGCATGCACAAGTTTAAAAAATGATTGGCTTTTTGATGAGAAAGTTGCACACAATTTTTTGATAACAACGATTAAATTAAATAAACTCAAACATAAAAATAATTCTTAAAATTTGAAAAAAAAATTTTACAGTTATTTGCAAAAAAAAGTTTAGGTTGTTTTTCAGTAAAGGGCGATTGAATTAGCAAACAAATGTGACACATGAAAAAATAGTGGCTAGAATAAAAAAACGAAAGATTGTTAAATTAAAAATGGGTCAGAGAAAGTTCAACGGCAAAGGATGAATGAATTGAAATTCAAAAATGAAGATAAGTTCTTAAAAATTGAAAGAACCTTTTTTCCAAAATTTTTTTTGCATAAATTTTAGTCACTTTTAAGTGATGGGCTGTTTCGTCATTGATCTGGATTCGAAATGCTCACAAACCAAAAACGAACAACAAGTAGAATGCTCATAGATCTATTGAATGTATATAAATTACTGACCTATCAGAAATGTTAATAAAAATAAGTTAATTTTGGGAGGGCTTTTACATATTTCTACTTTTGATCTCTACGATTTTTAACGGGTCAAAACGGGTTAAAAATTTTCATTCCCATAGTTCCTTACCACTTTGCCATATTTCTTTCACCCTTCCTGAAGCTGTCGCAATCAAAACAAAATGTTTTTGAGATCAACGCTCAACGCAATATTGTAAAACGCGCCGATATATTGTGACGATCTAGTCGGCTTTTTTTTTCGTTAGGTAGTTTAAATAGATTTTTCCTGATCTCGCATTGCACTAAAAAGACTCTGTTTTGGCCAATTTTTTGCGCCGCAGCCAAAATTTTAAAAAACTGACCAAAAAGGCGTTTTCAAGCTATTTTGGAAAACTTTGACAAAAAAATCGCGTTTTTTTTGGCGCGCACTCCTTCGAAATTAGTACATCTTGGCGTCAAAGGCGCCTTTAAGAAAATTTAGGGTCCGCCAGCCAGAAATGGATATCTCAAAATAGTACAAATGGGCGACCCCTTGGCTCGGCATGGGGTCGCATTCCTGAGGAGGGGGATAGGGGGGGGGGGACTAGGCGGAGAGAAAGGGGCGTTCGCCCCCGCCTCCTTCTAAATCCGCCCCTGGATATATGAATTGTTTTTAACAAAATAGTTTTTCCGCACAAAATCAAGTACCAGAAATAATCATCGGAGTGGGTCGAGTGATGTACCAAATTCAAGCCCTTTCAATTGTGATTCAAACAAAAATAAAAAAAATATTAAAGGTTTGCGATAGCTTATTTCAGCTTATTTTTAACCCGTAAAAACTTAGTTTTAATCGAGTAAATTGAGTTTCCGGAGTTTTTCAGCGTCATTTTGGGAAAAGAAAGATCCAAAAGCTCAAAAAATTTCTACAAAAATTTTGAACTTTTTTAGAAATTTTTTAATGATTTTTTTTTTGGTTTTCTTGTTTTTCTGCAAAGAATGTAGTCCAATTTGCTCATTTTATTATGACTATCAAATTTGCCAAAATTCTATTGTTTCGATGAGATTTTTTTATCACACTGAGCAGAAAAAAACGACACTAGTTTCGAAAAACTTGTTTTGGTTCGTTTTAAGACTATGGTCGGAGTATTCTGTGCTACTTGCACAGTATCCGGCTATTCGTGTTTTTTTTTGCATTTGTACACCTAAAAGGAACATAAAGTCAGGAGTTATTTACACTTGATTTTCTAATCAATGAGAATCGTTTATCTTTGTTAAATGAAAATCTGGCATATAGAAAAAAAAGGTATGGAATGACTGAACAACTTTCAAAATTTTCAAAGAAATTTGTTCGATGCAAGGTCATAGGGCAACCAAAAAAAACGTTCGCCCTGATTTGAGATCATCTGTACAATTTTATTAAAATCTTATATCACAAGATTTCTCTTCAGTTTAAAAATTTAGCTCGGAAATCCATTGATGCATTGCTTGCGTTATCTCAAAAATACGAGATCCGCTTTTTGGAATTACTAATGAAAAATTTAAGTGGTTAAAAATCCATTTACCAGATCAAATTATTTACACGAGGTCACCGGTTGATTCCTACCGAGAAAGGAAATGAATTTCGATCTGCAAATACAGACCATAGAGGTATTGGTACTAGGCACAATCAATAATCACCTAACTGATCCACTATGTGCATTTATAGAGTATATTTTGTAATGACTATATTTGGTTTAGGTATTTATTCAATTTAAAAAATCAACATTTAGCCAGCAGCACTCACGTCGCGCTCGCGCTCCATAGAACAAAATCCGTTAATTTAAGTGTTCGGATAAAAACCTTTCCGAAGTTCGTAAGGAAAAATAGTACGTAAAAGGAAAGCTATTTTTGCTGAGCCAATCACCCAAATTTTCAGTTTTTACAAAAGCTTTTAATTAAAAAAAAACTGTCTGAATTGTCAAGACAAAGAGGCAAAGTGATTCAAGGGGGCGAAGAACGCAAAATGAGATGCCTTGAAAGTTAGTCAAAAACAACCCGGTAGATTTAGAAGATTGACCCGGGTTGACCTCCATACACCGAAAATGCTTATCATACAATTCCATATATCAAATGTATGGAACAATGCTTGTCATACAATTTTCATACAATTGCGAAAATTGGTTGAAAAAGATTAAACTAATTTCTGCGGCTGTTGGAGTCTAATAAACCAGTCTGGTGATGATAAACCGAGGTTTTTGTTTTTTGAAAAAAGTGCTTATCATATAATTCCCATATATGGAAATTGTATGACTAGCAATTTTTGATGGCGACAAAAACGCCTACTTCTTTTGTATGACATGTTTGTGTATGCCTTGATTACTGTCTGATAATTATAAAATTCAAATTTTAAAAAGTCATCGTTGAAAAGTTTTGCCAAAAATGAAAAGTTTGTTACGTTACTTTCGTTATATACTTTGTGAAAGACAGCTCTGAGACATTTGAGGTCGTTTTCTATGCATAGTAAATGCAAAAACGTCTAATTTTTGGTGCTTCGAGTAAACCAAGATCTTGGTCAGTTGCGTTCGGTTACGAAAACATCCCAAAATTTTTCAGAAATTAGGTTTAAAAAAAATTAATTTTTTGGTTTATGGAAAAATACTTGTAATACAGTTTTGATATCTAGAAAAATAGTTATCATAGAGATTTCATACAACTTTCTGTACATAAGGAATTGTATGGAACTGTATGGCAGGAAAATTTTTATATATGGAAATGATAAGAAGCTTTGGTCAACCTGGGGAGGTTTGGAAGTTCAAAGATAACATTTTTTAGACTTTTTTGTAGCGGCGAACTTACCGCCTCTGTAGATAGTCCAAATGTGTAGCTAGTTTATCCTCAAAATCACAAAAAATTAAAACTTGTTTATAGACAAGCTAACACTTTTTGGATCAACCGTAAAATTTTTTTGATCAACCTTTTTGGATCAATTTAGGGGGGATAAAACAGTAATTCAGAGGGCAAATTGAATTGATGATCCATTTAATCAAAAATCAAAAATGAACAAATATGAACAAAAAATGGGTTAATTAACAGTATAATTTGTTATTCCTTATGAAAAATGTTCTCCAGCATTATATTCTGCGCTTTTGTTTGAAAAGAACATTTTATACGATATGATTTTTCAAACTTAATACGTGGCTATGAGGCGATTCTAAGGTAGGTTAATTAGGGGTGGGCGGGGAGAGATTGTTCGATTGATCCTATTTGTTGTTAAAGTGACTCTGTAGATATACGTTTTGGTCGGCTGGAAATGTTCGCTGCCTGAATTTATTAGTGTTGACAAAATTTTTAAATTTCTATTAGGTTTTTCATCTCACAGCGTAATTAACACAGCTGTTTAATGAGTAAAAACTTCGTTTTTTGTTTCATCTTACCTGAAATTTGCCTAGATGTCTAAATTGAGCTCGATAAGCAGAGATAATGGCGTAAAGAAGTGACGAAATGTCGGAAAAGTAGATAATAAGAAGGAAGTTGCTAAATTTAGGGAAGCTAAGCCTCAACATTTGATTTTTTTGTCAAATTAGGCCATTGCAAAATTATCAGCTATTTCAGGTTTTAATTATTGTTAAAAATTTAGGAGCTTTACGGACTGATTGCTTGATCCAAACTTCTAGGTAATCAGAAAATAGATACATAATGTGTATAAATTTTACGTTTTTAATCGGTGATTTTAAAATTTTTTTATTGTCTCTGAATAAAATAGTTGTTAGCACTTACTGGCATGGTATTTCATGGCTCGGGCAATTTTGCTTCTTGGAGGCTTTTTGGCATAGTATTTTCTGAAATGAAAGATTTTGGTTTTTTTACACCCATATTAAATGTTTTTCCTACTCATTGTATTTTCAACAAAACATTTCAAAAACTATCTCATGCCAAGAAAAATTGACCTGTTTTGCAGTTTTGTCTTAAAGATAACAAAGAGCGGACGGATTAAGCGAAAAACTGACGAGCAGTTTTCAATTAAATCATAAGTTATTTTTGCTAGATTGAACGATTTAGCTACATATTTTGAAAGGTTCGGTTTCTATTGGCGAAACACAAATCCCATGTGAAGTAAGAATCCAATGCATGTGTTGCAATGATAAATTCTTCAGCAGAAAATTTTTGAAAAAAAAAACATTTTTGCTCGTATTAGGTTGAAGCCCTGAATAATCAGACTTGCGTTTTTCGGATTTTTTAAATCAAAGTTCATTTTTCTGTGATATATTTTAAACTGCACTTAAAATTTCAAATGAATAATCCTGTATCAATTTGAAATTTTGTGATCATTTCAAAGTTTGAGATTTATGTTGCTTGTGAATTTACTTTTTAAAAAAATTATCAAGTTTTTTGGCTAAAATCATCAATAACAATTACTTTAACACCAAACTTTTTTGTACTCATTGAATTAAATGTTAATTAAATAAACTTATTAAGCGTACATTTTGGGCCGAAATGATACAGCTTTTAAACATTCTATCTTTCAAAAGAGATAGAGCTAAAAGTGACAACTATAATTGTATCAAAATTATAACTACGGCTATAGTGCCTATTAACGATATTGGGACCAAGTTAACATCCTCCCCCCCCCCAATCCGTTCAGAGGGAGGATGTTAACTTGGTTTTGAGTTCGAACTTTCAGCCAATCAGAATAGAGCATTTTACACGCAGCGCTTATCAAAATTTATTTAAATTCAACGCTGGGGTGGAGGATCTTAACTTCTATTTGGAGGGGGGATGTTAATTTGATCCCGATATTGAATCCTAACTGGGCAAGATTTTTCCTTGGCGGAGCTTTGTGCAATTTGGATGTAATTGTGGCCAAGCTCACTTGCACCTTAGAAATTCAAAATACTCGATTATCTCAGTATTTGCATCTGCCCTACAGAAGGCTAGTCAAAAAAACTTTTTTGCGATAAGTGTCCTTTTTTTCGACCAAACAAAATCGTGGCCGAAAAAAACTTTGTTTTCGACAGAGTTCGACCCAGTAAAATTTATTTCAAATAATTTCAATAAGAACCAACAGATAAACGCGAAGTGGGAGGAATCTGCAGCTTGTTAAAGTTGAATATTGAAGAAATTTCTTTTGCGAAAAATTGTACAAAATGAAATTTGTACAAAGTTAAAGATGTTATACGGTTCTTTAACTTGGGGCATCTACGTGAAAGGCTCAGTTTGATATAATTGTCTAATTGTTTTTTTGTAATTTTTGATAGGCCGAATAGATACAAAGTATACATGTTTTTGTTATAAAATGTTGGCTTCGCATCTACTGAAACAAAAACAGTTTATTAATTCTGGTTAAACACCAAGCAACTTTTGTTGTTCCCACTTTCGAAGAAAACGGAATATTTCTGATCGGTGTGGTTTTATTTTAGTCAGTCAATTTTCACCGATCGAAATAATAGTTTTCAACAAAAATTTTTTAAACTTCATTGAAGATATCGACTTTCTGAGTTCAAATATAAATAGATTTCTTACCTCCGATTATTTTTTAAAAAGTTCTGCGGGTTTGAAAATTGCCAAATTGGCCATATTCTGGACTAAATTATGCGCGCTTTGAAGTGCCTATTCATGGGAGGCGGAGCTAAAAGCAGAAGGGTCCAAAAGCAGAATGGGTCCAAGAGCAGTAAAACGGAAAAAAATTAACTCTTATTGATTAATACGGGCTAATTGATAAAAAACAATTATTATAATCGTCAATAATACCAAGAAAATGAATAAAAAATAAGTAGATTAACATAACGCATTTTCGACCAATCAGATTTCAGCAAAGTTAGAATTCTCTAGCGCTTATTAACGGCTTTTATTAATAGGGGTGGCAATTCTTGAGTAAATTCTAAAGGGAGGGTGATTGTTAAGAAGATCCGCCTTTTGTTTTGTCAGATCTCAACCAAATTTGAGAAATGCATCATAAAAATTTAGTTTTTTCTATTCGATATGGATCATCACTGTAACAATTGATACTAGCAGTTTGATTTCAACGTTTTCCCGCTCTGCAAAAAGCAACTTTTCAATAATACTTTTTGTTCTATTCTTGGTTACATTGGAATCAGAATAAATGTACTTACTAGTTGGATACTGTTTACAAGAAATTGACGACTGAATGACGGCTGACACAAAGTCTGACTGTGATTAGGCGTCAATAGTTAATTGCTATCTTACCAACGATTCGATTAATCAATCCGTTATCGCAGGTGCTGTTACCGCAATTACTTTTATTTTTGAGCTGAAGTTTCCGATTGGTAACTCTGAAATCAGTAGATAAAAAAAAACAATGACCAGACTACGATGTGAGGATAATTTGTGTTGCCAAATTTTCAAGCCAATTAAGCTTCGATGGACTAGATGGCCTAGTTGGTCCCAAAGGAATATTCACTATAATAGAAGAAGTGACATAAGAATTACTTTTCTATGCCATTTTCTCATGAGATCAATTATAGAAATCACGGAAGAAATTGAACAAAGTGAAAAGCTTTTAGGCTAAAATTACTTCATCTTTGGTTAATCCCGATTATATTGTACAGATTAAGTGAGTAAATGAGAAAAGTGCATTTCACTAAATAATTTTTGTTTTGCTGACCCTTGTAGTGTTCACGCCAAGCTCCAGTTTTTCAGCGTAAAATCAAGATCACTAATTGATCGCTCGGCGCGCTCAGATTTCTCATCAACTCTTTCATCCGACTCGACTGCAAATGTCAAGCTTATGGGATCGCTGCAAGAATCAAGTCAAAAACAATGGTTCTTAATGCTATTGACATGATTCTTGCACCGATGTTCGTTATCCCATATGCTTAACATTGACATCAGTTTCTCCAGTTTTTGCTCATCAGTTGCGTTACATTTTAATCGATCTCTTGAGTTTCCAAGTGCTTTTTCATAACTTAATTCCCAATTCCGTATGGAGGATTCCTTCATCAGATTTTCTGACGCGGCTCTTACAGATTTAATCGCTAGTTCTTACCTGTTCGCATCTGCCCAACTGCTAGCGATAGTTTAAGTTTCTGACGATTTTGATCTTTCACTGCATCCAAAAAAAAGAACACTATTCCTCCGGAAGTGACACTTTTGGCTACAAAAGAAGCATCTAGCCCCAATTTGGGTATCAATCCGCTGTAGAACACGAACTTGTCTACGTAATCAAAGTCACCTTCACTGGGGACATATCCTCGACTCTCCATGCTTTGTCTGTATAGTGTGCAATTGTTCTATTGATAGTCCACCGATCTGCAATTGGCTCATGATTGGCGCTTATCCATATCGCTTTCGGTTTGTGCCAAGTTTGCTTAAGAACAAATTTTTAATTTCGCGGTTTTACATTTTATTTCTTCTTCAGTTTAGTTCACTTCCTTTATTGAAAGGAAGGCAAACTCAACATCTGAACAGCGAAAGTGTAAAGGTCACAGTAAACGTGATCGACTTGTACCTTCTGAAGTGGAATTTAATCATCGAATTTCCGAGCGAAACATAAATTTTGTTTTTTGTCACGGTTTTTTTAAATTGGGTTAGTTTGATCAAAGAATTGTCAATCATAAACTGTTCTAGAATTTTGAAGAGCTGTAAGGCCAGCTGTTTTTTCGATAGTAAGATGTTTGTTTTGCTTACTTGCGTTCATTGACTTTTTTTAAGTGTCTGTAGGCTATTTTTTTTGGGTCCGATTTTCGAGAACAGTGAGGAATATATATATTTGTGGGGGTTTTTCGTTCAGAACAATTTTCATGGGAAATGTTTTTTCGGAGGATTGATACATCGCTCTTCGTGGGCCTCTTCAATTAATATGAAACCAGACTGGCTTAACTTCCGTTTGATACTTTGATGCGGAAATTGTACCTCAAGTTTTTTACTTGTAGCGAATTGCTCAAATTAAGAATCTTTCCAAAACTAATAATGGCAAGCGGTCTTGTGAATTTCATACGAGACCCAAATTTTAAAACCTAGAACTTGATGTTATCAGACTAAATACGAGTAGTTTCGTAAATCCGCCACATGCTAGAGTATTTTTGGCTATGTTTAGATTGTCCTAATTAATTCGGTGTCTCAGAAAAACGTCATTTGTGAGCACTTTCAGGTAATCTATTTTTTTAAATCTGAAAGATTAGATTTTCCAGGAGAATTTTTTTTTCAATCACTGGCAGTTTGAGCGCCCCGCTGAGTTTGCAAAAACCTCAACTAACCTGGCAGCAGTCTGACTTAATTTCCCGTTATATACTTTGATGCTGAAAAAATACGAGCAGTTTTTTTTATCCGCCACATGCTAGAGTATAACATGATACATTATGCGTGTAAAAATTGATCATCAGTTTAAATTAGAACGATTTAAATTGACGCGTATGCTTCGATCGGACAAAATATTTTGCGCGCTTCATTTATTCTATAATGACCAGTTTGACCATTTTAAAACCGCATTGACTAAAGAAAGGCAGTCGCAGATCACATAACTTTAAGTTTTGAGGGCAGAAAAACAATAGCTTTCAGAAGATACAGTGCTGATTTAAGTTTTCCAAAAAAATGACTGAAACTTGTAATTTATAACGCAGTTATTTCGAATTAGGCTGATTTTAAACAAAAAGTGTTTAAGGCCGATTCTGCTCAAAAATTAACAAAAATGCTATAATTTAATTTGTTTAAAGAAACTTGTATAAAAAAAACTATTTTTGTTTGATAGCCAAATAATGTTACTTTTACAATATGAATTACTTATTTTTCAAAAAAAAGAATTATATCTTTTTGAAACAATTTGCGCCCACTTTAGGAGGTAAAACCCTTTTTAAATTTTGCTAGACTATATAAGTGGCCTGCAGTGATTTAATTTTGTCAGTTAATGAACAAATATTTTCGGAGTATAAAAAATAAAAATGATCGTTTTCGGGGTAAACTTTGTGCCCAAATTTTGCGAAACAAATTATTTTAAATCTGTTGAAACTTTAAGCAAGGCTGTTCCTCTTCTTTTTTTTGTCTTAAATCAACACATTTTAGCACAAACATGTCTTAGAAGTTTTATTCATTTGTCAGGATATAGTTCAAATCAGCACTGTATACGCAAGTCAAGTTACACTGGCTAGTTAAGAAATTGAAAGCCGGGATAACAATAGAATGAAATTCATGTACACTTCATATTCATTTATATTGATATTTTGTTGCAATACTTTTTGGCGGCGTAGTTCTGATAGTAAAACAGGCAACTTTTTCTTTATGAAAAGTTTGGAGATATGTACAGTATCTTGGTACACAGGAACCCCTTCAAAAACTCCTGGGATTGTTACTCGTGTAGCATTAGTTCCAATTAACAGGGACGCCATGTCAAGTTAATAATCAAACTTCGGGTTCTTTTGAGTTAATTCTGGGAAAAGTTTTCGCAAAAAAATAAACGCCTTTCTCTTCAGAAATAGCTATTGGACAAGCATTTGTGTAATTAGAGAATTCTTTGTGCTGGTTTTCTAGTTTTTTGATACAAGGTGTTGGGTTTCCTTGTGGTAACTGGTGCATAATCATAAAAACAGGCGTAGTGTATGGAGTCACACGCTCGATCAGTTTCGGAGTTTGTTCGCGAATCATGCTCGTCCAACCTTCCAAATTTCTCAATGCAGATTCTGCTGAGCTGTTCTCGGTTACTTTTATGTCTGCATTGTGTAGTGATCTTGTGAAATAAAGAGTGATATCTGTTTTGTTCGCTTTCATGTATTCCATACTAAGTCGAGGGATAAAGTTTGGGTCCTTGTCAATGGCCTGTTGTATTTTTCCGGCGTGGTTGGGTGTTGCTTCCCAGGAAAAGATAGGGAAAAAAGGTGAACCTGCTCGACAAAATGATCCATAGTGTAGATTTCTTCCGGGGAGTCGTCTCCTCTAAGCACGCTTTCACTCTACTTAACAGCCGCAGAGTTTCTCCCCATTATACCGTGTAATAGCGGGGGACACTAAGACACGATATCATCCACAGTCCCGAAAGGTTTATGTTGGTGGTCAGACTAAATCGGCCGATCAAAGGAATACGCAACTTCCTCCTTTATTTAGGCTCTTTTTGGACCTCCTTTTGCGCTTCTAGCTAATTCAACAAACTGTGGCCACAATAAGTAAGTTCTAAATCGCAAAGGAAGTAAAAGCAATTTACAGTGCCCTGAATGAGCTAACTACTATTTAGCAACTTCTATAAGGAAGCCCACGTTTCGTTCCGTTCAATCGCTTCGTTATCTCGCTCGTCAATTTTTTCTTGACGCAATTCTAAACTCGCCTACTCCAGCAGCGCAACTCCTTCAAACAATTATTTCAACCCGGTACTAAACTCGGGTTGAAGCGCAACTCGCTCGCACAAAGAGTTCAACCCGGTACTAAACTCGGGTTCCAATCAGCTCGCTCACACTACTAGTTCAACCCGGTACTAAACTCGTGTTCCAGCGCAACTCGCTCACTAGCAATAATTGTTCTCTACTCTGACTGAGAACCAACAACTCTTAATAGTAGCCAACAACTGTTCTGACTCTTACAGGCTCTCTGGTACCCTCCAATTCCTTATCTTTCTTTACACTTAGATTTAATTAAGTCACGCCATTCCCTATCAGTCCTGACATCCGCTTAAATCACCTGTCCGCACATGTTTAAGACTATATCCCTCCCCCTGTCAACTCTGCCACGTGCCAACTTCGGTTTCTTTTTTCAATCTTTTCACGCTTATTAAATACCCGGTATGCGGTAGGTGTCACAATTTGACCAACAAACAAATTACATACGATTCTACTCAACTACTCTTGACCTCAGTGACTTCAGCCCTCTAGTTCAACTCAACCACCAAACCATGCTATGTTTAGTCAGTGACTCTCCCAAGGTCTTTATTTCAATTATCCCGTTAATGTTCCGACCTGTTAAAGGTGGGGGAGGCCCTTTTCATGGGTAGCTAATTCATTCCAAGCATCTAAAATTTCGATCTGTACTCTATTCCAATCCTGACCTTCTACCTATCAGGGGAACGTAGTTCGCCTATTAGGGGTCAAAACGAACCAAAACGTCAGCTCCGGGAAGACAAGTAAATTCCCCGTTCATTCATACTATTTAGGCGACTTAATTCTCATGCTACGGTCCTGTTACTATCAATTTCTTCTGGGACTACTTTTCTTTAGTCTAATTGAATAGCAATTAAAAGATCTTTCACCAAGCTAAACTAAACCCAATGTTTACCAAGTTCACTTCGAGTTAACTCTACTACTCCAAGGTTGCAATGTAAAAGCTATATCTCTATCAGCTTCTGCTCTAGTTCCCAAAATATAAGTTTTTCCCCAAACTTTGGCAAGGTGGCCCATTCTCATTTCCAGGGGTGGGGCTGGGGAATACGTCACTTTCCAGTGTTCATCTCGGTGTTTTCCATGCAATTTTGAAGTCAAATTGCCCAAACGTCAA